AGTCGTCGACAACCAGCAGGAAGTACCGCTCGTGGCCCTGTCCACGGACGCGGGCTGGGCCCCACACGTCCAGGTGGAGAGTCTGCAGTGGAGCCTCTGTGGGATGGGAACGAGGAGGAGTGAGGAGCGGCGTGTTGCCGCCCCTCGACGCAGGAAATGCAGGGCGGCGCAGGCGAGGGAGGGAGGGGAGGCAGAGACCTGGGAAGCCCAGAAACCAGGAAGCGGCGAGTGCATGCTGCGTAGGCGAGGCAGGGAGGTGTGACCAAGGCGGTGTGTCGCCACAGGAGAGTGTCGTGCGACAGCCGGCGACACTTCACACTGAGTAGCTACCTGAGCAGACGCGTGCAACTGGGGAGACAAAGGGGCGGAGCGTGACGCAGTGGTGAGGGTGTACAGACTGGACCCCGGCGCACGAGCGAACGTGGCCAGGTGGCGACCAGTCTGGGAGCACGTGCAAATCGCCACACGCTGCCGGCCAGGGGTGAAGGTGTCAACCCCCGCATCCTGGAGGACAGCGTTACTCACCAAGTTCGTAGAGAACGAGGGGAGGTAGAGACCAGATAGCTCACCAGACAGGATTGCCGGACACGGAAGCACAGTGGAAGACCGTGCAAGCACTGGGCCCCCAGAGGGGTCAGCCAGTAAGACAGGAACATGTGCAGGGAGGGGAGTGACTGTGGTACTGTCGCGAAAGAAACAGCGGGAAGCACCAGAGTCAAGTGTAAAGGTGTGCAAAGCCTGTGCAGGCGCAGTACCAAGGGGAGCAGACTCACAAGCACCTAGTGCTGCAGGGGCTATACCAGGGGTTATACCAGGATCCGGCGGCACACACAAGTAGCAGTCACCCTCAGCACTAACAGACAAGGCATACATAGCAGCAAGAATTGCCTCATAGTCAAGATCAAAGATAGGTACATCACGCCTAAGTAAGTCTGCCCAGTTGGGGAACTCAGTAGCATCAGGAAACTTGGCGCGCCAGGCGTCGCTAAGCGAGCGAAGCAGCGCTGCTCAGTGTGAAAACCTGTGCACTGGCGACCAGCGCGGGGACCTGTGCGGATGATATAGGGGCAGCGACCAGGACCCCCAGAAGCCCCACGCCCGGCATACCAGTCAAGAAGTTGCTGGGAAGTGGGGGTCTGGCTGCTGACGCTGATGCTGCTGCTGCTGCTGCAGCTGCTGCTGGCCCTGACCACCAATGCCACTACCGCTCCCTCCTCCCCCACCCGCCGCTGCTGCCGCCTCCACCGCTCCCAGTGCCTCCGCCGCCCCCACCACCACCTCCACCGCCTCCAACCCCCACGACCACCCCCACCACCTCCACCTCCCCCGCCGCCTGCCACCACTGCCACCTCCACCGCCACCCCCACCGCCCCTGCCACCCTGCCGCCCCTTGCCGCTGCGACGCTTCCCACTAGGAGCGGAAGCAGCTCCGACCCCCCTCAGCACCAAGGTAGTCGTGAGCCAGCAGCTGCGGAGGCGTAGGAGGGGGTGAGAGGGGAGGGGGAGCACCCTTCAAAGAGGGGAGAGCGAGGAGTGCCACGAGCAGCACCTACAGCGAGGATGTTCTTCTCTGCTGCGAGGAGGTGCTTCTCGAAGTCGTCTACAGTGAGAGTGGTGGGGTCTAGCGCTAGGAAGTGGTCCCTGACAGAGCTAAGAGTGTCAGGGAGGCGGGTGGACGAGGAAATAGAGAGTGAAGTACATCGGGGGGGGGTTTGCGGCGCAGAACTCGGCTGAAAGGGCGGCACGAAAGCGAGAGTCAGTAGCGCGCAGGTGAGAAACTAGGTCCTCAGCAGTGGTGAACGAGGAAAGATTGGGGAACAGATACGGTAGCATGATTCGACCTATGGCTGCAGTGGCCGGGGAGGAGTAGCGCGCAACAACAGCGTCGTACAGTGTCTTAGCAGTTCTGTGCTGGCTGAAATGTGCTCGCTCAGTAATCGGCAGGTGGTTCCTAATAGCTAGGCGTGCAGCAGCATCACGAGTCTGCCAATGGGAGCGTTCTAGAGCAGAGAGCATCAGCAGCAGGAGCAAAAGCAGTGCCAGAGACGTAATCAAACAGGGAAACGCCATCTTTGGCATCAGTCAGAAGGAACAGCTGGAGATCGTCTAACCATACAGTGAACTCGATGGGACGACCGTCAGGCTCGAACGCTAGAACGTTAGGCGTCGCCATATTGGCTTAAGGCAGGAGGGCAGCAGGCAGCAGGCAGCAGGCAGAGGCAGCAGGCACCAGGTAGGAGGCAGGAGGCAGAGGCAGGAGGCAGGGGCAGCAAGCAGCAGGCAGGGCAGCAGGCAGGCAGCAGGCAAGCTGCAGGCAGGCTGGCAGCAGGCAGCAAGCAGGCAGGCAGGCAGGCGGCAGGCAGGCGGCAGCAGGCAGCAAGCAGGCAGGCTGGCAGCAGGCAGCAAGTAGCAGGCAGGCAGCAGGCAGGCTGCAGGCAGGCGGCAGCAGGCAGCAAGCAGGCAGGCAGGCAGGCTGCAGGCAGCAAGCAGGCAGGCGGCAGCAGGCAGGCTGCAGGCAGGCGGCAGGCAGGCGGCAGCAGGCAGCAAGTAGCAGGTAGGCAGCAGGCAGCAAGTAGCAGGCAGGCAGCAGGCAGGGCAGCAGGCAGGCTGCAGGCAGGCGGCAGCAGGCAGCAAGCAGGCACGCAGGCAGGCTGCAGGCAGCAAGCAGGCAGGCGGCAGCAGGCAGGCAGCAGGCAGGCTGCAGGCAGGCGGCAGGCAGGCGGCAGCAAGGCAGCAAGTAGCAGGCAGGCAGCAGGCAGCAAGTAGCAGGCAGGCAGCAGGCAGGCTGCAGGCAGGTGGTAGCAGGCAGCAAGCAGGCAGGCAGGCAGGCTGCAGGCAGCAAGCAGGCAGGCGGCAGCAGGCAGGCAGCAGGCAGGCTGCAGGCAGGCGGCAGGCAGGCGGCAGCAGGCAGCAAGTAGCAGGCAGGCAGCAGGCAGGCAGCAGGCAGGCTGCAGGCAGGCGGCAGCAGGCAGCAAGCAGGCAGGCGGCAGCAGGCAGGCAGCAGGCAGCTGCAAGCAGGCGGCAGGTAGGCGGCAGCAGGCAGCAAGTAGCAGGCGCGGCCTGAGGGCTGCGTGAGGCTGCTGGCTGCATGTGGCGACTTGCTGCACGAGGCTACGGGCAGCGCGCGCGGCCGCAGGCTGCGTGCGGCGACGGACTGCGTGGGCTGCGGGCTGCTTGCAGCTGCGGGCTGCGCGTGGCGACAGGCAGCGTGCGCGGCTGCAAGATGCGTGCGTTTTGCGGGCTGCGCTGGGCGATGGGCCGCACGTGCGCGGCTGCGGGCTGGTCGCTAAATGCGGGCTGCGCTGGGCGACGGGCCGCGCTGGCGTGACCTAACCAGAATGCGCGCGGGCGGCTTAAGGGGCGCACAGGTGGGGCCGAAACGGGCTGCGCGGGCTGCTGAAACGGCGCACGTGGGAAAAAAAATGGATCGCCCGAGGCGCGCGCAGGCAGCCGAGGCGCGCGTAGGCACTAGACGAGGCAGGCAAGCGTGGTGGGGCCCTAATCCTAGGTCCTAAGGACCTATGCTCTATACCATGTTAGAATCTTACGGGAAAAGTGAGTGTCGACTATCGAAGGGCAAGGTACAAAGGAGAAACCTAAGGGGTTGTACCCCACAGTGAGTACCCCACTAAGCCTAACCAAACTATAACATATATACACATATGTTTGACACGGGTCTTATCGTTTTTTTACTCGATAATAAGACCCCCCCCCCTCCCTTTTTTTTTGTGAAATCAATAACAGCCCCTAGGGTCTTTTATCCGGGGGAATACGGTATTTAACACAAGGTTGCCCGATGTTATAAGGGCCGTGGTTGTTACACCGCACGACCGAGGAGCGTGTGAATGGGAATGCGACGGTGCCGAATACGCGGGGTGGTCATGCGACGGCGACGAATGCGACGACATGCGACGGTACGAGCGAGCGATGCGAGGAGGTGAATGTCGGCGAAGGGACAAATGTCCTGAACCTTCAGGACGAGATGTGTGTGGCGAGGGGGTATCAAGCAGCCACGCTTGGGGTGCTTGTTTGGTTGGCGGATGATGCTTGTAGTTAAGAAGGGATCCATCGTGGCACGCACGACGACGAACCGCAATGCTGTATGTGCGTGGCGCTCAGCGCCGAAAAAAAAAAAACAAGACTCGACGTTTATGTCGGAAGGGTTGCGTAGAGTTGTATCCTCTATGTAAGAAACATTATTATGGAGTATATTATACTTATAGAAGCAATTTACTAAGATCTTCCTAACTACAAAAAATGGAACAAGCTCGATAGTCACTTGGAAGAAATTTTATTTTCTAGATTTTTCTTCCCTCAAAATTGTTTTGAGTGTTAATTGACATGGTACAATTGTTTATGGAAATAAAATTGAATTGTTTTTACATATAGCATATGCTAGTGTTCTATCAGGTTACCATAGCGGGTTTTTATGTTTGCAACTAATGTACCGTATCTGATGTGTCAGCATGTTGAATGGCGTGGCACGCATGTGTTTCCACGTGACACTAGCTTCGAAGTCTAGTGTGAGCGTTTTTTTTGTAGTATTGCCAAGTGCCCAGGTTTTGTTTAAGCTTGCCATTCGCCCTTGTGCTCATACTTCTATGAATAGAGAAAAGTTTCGGTGCCTCATTCTGCGCTGGCAGAAAATTTCTCGCCAGCTCCACGACAAACCCAACCAAGCCCAAGGTATCTGTCCCTTTCACAGCTGTCAAACTCGAATTTGACGCTCTTCATTTCTTGATTCTGTTCTTGGTTCTGTTCTTGGTTCCTCCTGAGAAGCACCTGCTTTGCTCGCTACTTTTCCTACCCAACCCAATTTCTTCTCTAGCTATTTCTCCTCCCATCCCGCCGTCGCTAGTACCTCCCACCCAGCCGTCGCTCTCCCTCCCATTCCCGTATCCTCTCCCTCAATTTCCGCCGTCACCTCTCCCTCCCATTCCGCCATCGCCTCTTCCTCCCACCTCACAATCACTCCGTCCCACCCCGCCATCTCCTCTCCCTTACCTCCCCGCCGTCGCCTCTCCCTCCTCCCCCGCCGTCGCCTCTCCCTCCTCCCCGTCATCGCCTCTTCCTCCTCCCCGCCGCCGCCTCTCCCTCCTCCCCGCCGTCGCCTCTTCCTCCTCCCCGTTGTCGCCTCTTCCTCCTCCCCGTCGTCGCCTCTTCCTCCTTCCCGCCGTCGCTCTCTCTCCTCCCCTCCGTCGCCGCCTCTCCCTCCTCCCCGCCGTCGCCTCTCCCTCCTCCCCGTCGTCGCCTCTTCCTCCTCCCCGCCATCGCCCTCCCTCCTCCCCGCCGTCGCCCTCCCTCCTCCCCGCCCTCCCTCCTCCCCGCCAGGTGCCCGGAGCGCAAACGCGGATTGGTGCGCAATCGCGGGTTGGTGCGCAAGCGCGGGTTGGTGCGCGACCGCGGGTTGGTGCACGAGCGCGGGTTGTTTTGTGAGACACCGTGGTTATCAAGTGCGCGGGTTGTTTGTTTTTTTGCTTTTTTCTTAAATTTTGTGTGTTGGTTTCCTCTTGCATGGCACTTTCATTTGAAAAAGGGGAGAGACGGAGCGCGTGAGAGAGGGAATGCACGTGAGAGTGCGAGAGAGAGAGCGCGAGAGAGAGCACGTGAGAGTGTGCCTGAGAGTGCGCGTGAGGGTGCGCGTGAGATAGCGTGTGAGAGAGCGCGTGAGGGAGTGCGTGAGAGAGCGCGCGAGAGAGCGCGTAAGGGAGCGCGTGAGGGAGAGCGCGTGAGAGTGTGCCTGAGAGTGCGCGTGAGGGAGCGCGTGAGAGAGCGCGTGAGAGAGCGCGTGAGATAACGCGTGATAGTGTGCGTGAGAGTGCGAGTGGAGTGCCCGTGAGAGTGCGCGTGAGAGCGCGTGTGAGAGTGCGCGTGAGAGAGCGCGTGAGGGAGCGCGTAAGTGAGCGTGTGAGAGAGCGCGTGAGAGTGCGCGTGAGAGAGAGAATGCGCGTGAGAGTGCGAGAGAGAGAGAGAGAGAGAGAGAGAGAGCATGAGAGAGCGCGTGAGAGTGTACCTGAGAGTGCGCTTGAGATCGCATGAGAGAGCGCGTGAAAGTGCGCGTGAGAGAGGAGAAATGCGCGAGAGAGGGCGAGAGAGGGAGAGCGTGAGACAGAGCGCGTGAGAGTGTGCCTGAGAGTGCGCGTGAGGGTGCGCATGCGAGATCGCGTGAGGGAGCACGTGAGAGAGCACGCGAGACAGCGCGTGAGGGAGTGCGTCAGAGAGTGCGTGAGAGAACGCGTGAGAGAGCGTGAGAGAGAGCGCGTGAGAGTGTGCCTGAGAGTGCGCGTGAGGGAGCGTGGAGAGAGCGCGTGAGGGAGAGCGTGAGAGAGCGCGTGACAGAACGCGTGAGAGTGCGCGTGAGAGTGCGCGTGAGAGTGCCCGTGTGAGTGCGCGTGCGTGAGAGCGCGCGTGAGGGAGCGCGTAAGAGAGCGTGTGAGTGAGCGCGTGGAGAGCGCGTGAGAGTGCGCGTGAGAGAGAGAATGCGCGTGAGAGTGCGAGAGAGAGAGCACGAGAGAGAGCGTATGAGAGTGTGCCTGATAGTGCGCGTGAGGGTGTGCGTGCGAGAGCACGTGATCGAGCGCGTGAGAGAGCGCGTGAGAGAGCGCGTGAGAGAGAGAATGAGTGCGAGAGAGAGAGATCGTGAGAGAGCACGTGAGAGTGTGCCTGAGAGTGCGCGTGAGGGTGCGCATGCGAGAGCGCGTGAGGGAGCGCGTGAGAGAGCGCGTGGGAGAGCGGGTGATTATGCACGTAAGTGGGCGCGTGAGAGTGCGACGTGAAAGTGCGCGTGAGAGAACGCGTGAGAGTGCGCATGAGGGTGCGCGTGAGGGTGCTCGTGAAGGTGCGCGTGAGAGAGCGCGTGAGAGTGTGCGAAAGAAACTCTTGTTTTCTCATATTCTATACTCGTGCTCGTCCCTCGTCTCAGCGCGAGAGTGCGAGTGTGAGTGCGAGTGCGCGTGCAAGAGTGAGAATGAGGGTGAGTGCGAGATTGAATGCGAGGGTGAGTGCGAGCGTGAGTGCGAGGGTGAATGCAAGGGTGAGTGACAGGCTGATTGAGAGGGCGAGTTCAAGGGTGAGTGCGAGTGTGTGTGTGTGTGAGTATGAGGTTTGGTGAAATGGTGTGGGTGTGATTGCAATGGTGAGTGCAAGTATGATTGGAAGCGTGAGTGCGTGCATGAGTGTGAAGGTGAGTACGAAAGTGAGTGCGAGGGTGGGTGCGAGAGTGGGTGTGAGAGTGTATGCGAGAGTGAGTGTGAGGGTAAGTCTGACGGTGAGTGCAAGGGTGAGTTTGGGGTGCGTGCGAGGGTTCGTGCGATTGTGTGTCCATGTGCAAGAGAGAGCGCGAGCATGAGAGCAAGGGTGAGTGCTAGGGATTGAGTTTGTGTTTTAGAGAGAGTGTCTAAGAAAAGTTGAGTGTGCGTGAGTGGGTTTGAAAGTGAGTGCGAGAGTGAGTGCGAGAGTGAGTGCGAGAGTGAGTGCGAGAGTGAGTGTGAGAATGAGTATGAAGGTGAATGTGAAAGTGAATGCAAGGGTGGCTGCATGGTATTGCATGCATGATGGTGTGGTATGTGTGGTATGTGTGGTGCCACAATATTTTCTACTAAGTCACCTTGTGAGATGTCAAATTTGGTTGTTTTCATCACTCATCTTTTCTTTGTATATTGCATTATTCATCACCAATTTATATGGCGCTGGATTTGTTGCTTGTGCATGCAAATTATGTTTCTCGTGCATCGTGTGAGCAGCATTCTATGATTTTGTTTTCTTGTGCAACTCATGAAAAGTTGTATTCTCTGCTTTTGTTTTTGTTTGTGCAGGAAATGAGTCACATTTGCTGATTTTCCTGTTCCTGTGCAGGGAGCTCAAGCTGCAGCCTTCGTTTTTTGAAGAGAAAAGGGATGGGGGGAAGGGAGACGATGGAAGGAGGGAGGGAGGGAGGTAGGGAGGGAGGGAGGGAGGGAGGGAGGGAGGGAGGGAGGGAGGGAGGGAGGGAGGGAGGGAGGGAGGGAGGGAGGGAGGGAGGGAGGGAGGGAGGGGAGGGAGGGAGGGAGAGAGGGAGGGAGGGGAATGGGTGGCAGGTTATAGATGATTTATACATGGCTGCACTTCATTCGTTATGCTTGCATGCATATTAGCTGTATGTTTTTTTTTCGCTTTGTGTGCGTCTCTGTATGTGTGAGGCTGTACTATGTATGTGTGCGTACATGTCCATACGCGTGTTAGTGTTCGTGTCTGTTTCGGGGTATGGTGCTAAGTGCTTCGTGTATGCAACTGGGGTTGTGATCGTCGGTGGGGCAGCTTTGCTTGCCTCTTCCGTACCATATCAATCAGAGTTGCAGCATTGATGCATTTAGCATTTGCTTCGAAGCATTCACAATAATTGTCCTCTGTTTTTGTACAAGTTTGTGTGTTACCTGTCCGTGTTTGTTTCGGGGTATGGTGCCAAGTGTTTCGTGTATTCAGCTGGGGTTGTGAATCGTGATCTTCAGTGGGGCAGCTTTGCTCGCCTCTTCCGTACCATATCAACCACAGTTGCAGCATTGACGCATTTAGCATTTGCTTCGAAGCATTCACAGGTGCTGTGGAAGTACGTGTTACCCGTCTCTATGTTTCGGGGTAAGGTGCTAAATGCCTCGTATACGCAACTGGGGTTTGTGATCGTCGGTGGGGCCGCTTTGCTCGTCTCTTCTGAACCATATCAATCTCCGTTGCAGCATTGATGCGTCTAGTATTCACCTCAAAACATGTGTCATACGACTTTCCATTGTGGTTTGTGTACAAATTCTTGCATGGTCATTTGTCTACGTGTGCCTTTGAGTGCTTGTCCAATTGTTCCATTCGCCGTACTTATCGACGATTTTGGGATAATTGGATACAGTTGGTTTCACATTTAGTGGAACTGACGTGAACAGTGATTTATTCCAAAATTGATAGGGGGAAATCACTGTTCACGTCAGCCAACCGAAAAGCGAAAACAAATGTATAAGGTTGCTATGCAACCCAAAAAAAACCACAGGTCTAAGGTGGAGACGAGATGGGGTGGGCCTCCACAAATAGTACCACCATGGATGGATATGACCGTACAATGGTTGAGTCTGTAGGATGCAAGGTTCGCGAATGCACTAATCCTGGTTACTCCCCACCGTCGTCTCATCAATGAGTTTTGGGTCTGCAGAAGAGGGCGGCGGGGACCACTGCGACTGATGCGAGTGGCTAGGCCAGTATGGTGTGAAGCTAAACCTTCCATCCAGTAAACGAAAAGAAACACTTTCTTTCATACATCCACAAAATTCAATGCATGTAATGTGCGTGGGAAAGCAGCCAGACGAGAATTCCAAGTTTCAAAACAAACGCGCATTTCCACACACCCAATTGTTCCACACACTCCAGCAGCAAGAAGCTGCTACCGTAATAGCTTCTGTTGATAGAGGAAAGAGCACATGCTATCCTGCTCACTCTTTGAGTGCCAGGTACTGCCACAAACATCACACTACATCAAACCACACAAAGGCACGCTTATTGCATTATTAGGAAACGTTCCAAGGAAGCCTAACAGACGCCACGGGTGCCGCCATGTCATAGGCACAACGCTAGCTCATCCTACTGCATAGAACACACAACAGCACATACCTGAAACGTTCCAAGTTTCATAACAAACGCGCATTTCCACACACCCAATTGTTCCACTCATCCTTACTGGCCGACTCGTCACAACACCAACACACACTGCACGCACAACATTTGCGATCACGAAACACCAACACGCTCAGCCCTTATGGAGCTGCCCGCGAATGGCGCCGTTGGGGTACGAGGGGGACGTGACGAGCCCGTAGTAGGTGCGCGGCGCCTTGAGAATATCCATCATGAGAACATTCAGAGTCTTTCCCGAAGTCGTGGTGATGCTCTCCGCGTTTTTCAACACGCCTTCCAGCACATAATTGTAGAACTTGAGGCGGCGCGTGACGGGCTGCGGGGTGACCGTTCGGTTCTGCCAGTTGGTGGGAAGCTCGTACTGCACCGCGCCGTTGGTGCCGTATTTACCGGCGTTTACGGTGGCCATGGTGGGGAAGGCGGAATTTCCGACTTGCGAGACGCCCACGGAGTAGCGCACCCAGTACGTCTTTCCGTACCTGCGCAGCCGCGGCGCGCGGCGACAGAGGAGCGTTTGTTAGTGGTCAATGCGACGGCGGCCAATTCGACGGCGGCCAATGCGACGGTAGCCAATGCGACGGTGGCCAATACGACGGTACGAGCGAGCGATGCGAGGAGGCGATGGCGGCGAGGGCGAGATAGAAGCACTCACTTGTAAAGCCCCAGAGCCATGCTGCCCGTCGACTTCAAATCGCCCGTGCTGCCCACGACTTGCGCACCATTTAACGACGTCGACACGCGACCTGCGACGAGCAATTAATTCCCGGAGCAAAACGAACGACTCGTGACGAGAAATATCAGCTGGAAGAAGAAAGAGGAGAAATATAGCGGTGCACGGCAAGATGCCAGCGGCATTCGCGGAAATGTTGAGGCGAGAAAGGACGACGTACCGATCCACTTGCCCCTAGCGCTAGAGGCGCATGCCAAAAGGACGAGAAGCACAAGGGCGAACGGCTTGGAAGCCATGGTTACTCCCTCCTTCCGAATTCAAGGAATGTGATAGTAGGGAGCGGGGATTTGCTGCAAACAACCGACATCGGCACCATCACCATCAAGGGGAAGGAGGGGGAGGTGCTGAATGTGAAGGGTGTGCTTCATGTTCCTGGATTGGCAGCCAACCTCCCCTCATGCTCTCAGCTTGCTAGGCAAGGATACGCACGCACCTTCACCATGGGAGGGTGCACGGTTCGCAGGGGTGGAGCAGTGGTGATGGAGGCCAAGTTAGACAAGGGTATATACCTTGTTGAGCTGAAGCAGAACAGTAGTGGATAGGTAAATGGGGCGAATAAAGATTGATGATGGGTTGTCCTCTGACCCAAAGGGGTCATTTTAGAAAGCTTGCTTTCTTGTTGTAGCAATGGCATCGTCTCATTTCAAATGGCAAAGTACAGACATGTCCAAGCTAGCATGCAATTATTCTAAAGCAATCAACTATCCATAATTGGTCCCAGTTCTACGGGGTTGGGTGGGCGGGAAACTAGGCTAAGCCGTTTGAAAATGAAAGACGTGGGTGGAGGGAAATGACCTCCAGCCCACGTTTTGTACTCCAAAACGGACGTTTAGCGCGGTTCGCCGATGACATTGCTACATTACAAGCCGCTTCGCTTTCAAAATACAAAATTTTGAAAAGCGTTACAGCTTTTTTAAAATATTCATATTTTAGAAAGCTTGCTTTCTTGTTGTAGCAATGGCATCGTCTCATTTCAAATGGGTCTTCTGAGACATGTGTCTTGTTGGACGCCGTTGGCGCGCCACTGTCGTGGCGTGTTGAGCGGGGGAGAGGGCTCGTGCTGGGTCTTGAACTTGCTTCGAAGCCCCCACCAGTTGGTCTGCGGCAGGCGTGATGTACGTCTCCTTGGCGGTGTCGCTGCTCCACCTTCCTAGTCGCTTCAAGATGCGGTCTGATATTCCGGCGTTGGCTGCGACAGTTGCTGCACCTTTCCGAAAAGAGTGGGTGCCGAGATGCTCGAAACTAAGACCGATTTTGTTGAAGGCCTCTTTGCACCAGTTGCGGATTGTGGTGTAGGATGGCGACTTGGCGGCACCGTTTTTCCCACCCTCTGTTCCAAAGACGCGGATGAGTGGGCCTTGTTGCGATTGATCGTATCGTGCTAGGTGTATGAATCGTTTGGTGCACCGAAGTGGGCAAAAGGGGCCAGGGCTTGCCGCTACCGGGACCCATGTGCCTTCTCCTGCCTGATCCGTCTTGGAACGGGGTATTAGTAACCACATGTCTTCCGGCT